CTGTAATATATCAAATTCCATAGTTTGCTCACATAGTTTTGATTTATTTAGTTGAGTTACCACCCTAGTACGTACGTGCAATACGATATGCAGTGAAATTCTCATTTCTGAAGCACATATAGGTAGGTAGGTGACCAACACTCTAATAAATCAAATAATAGATTCATAACTATGCTAATCATCATGTTCGGATTTTTTAAAGGCTAATTTTGCTTACGAATTTACATATCAATTCGCACTGATTTAGGTACACTTTGTTTACCTAATTAATAGTTAAAATTACTTCGTATTTTTTTTTTTTAACTATAGTCCTAGACTAGCTCTATACTGTAATAGAACCAGTTTTGTAATAACCTTTACCAAAATTTTATTCTTAATGTTATGAAAAATTATTACAAAAATAACTTTATTACAGTGTAGAGCTAGTCTAGAATTAATAGTTTAATAAAAAATACGACGCAATTTTGACTATCAATTAGGTAAAAAAAAAAAAAAAAGTGTATCTAAATTAGTGCGAATTTTCTTATGTAAATTCATGTATAAAATTAGCCTTTAAAAAATCCGAACATAATCATATAGTTACGAAACTATTACCATCCCTAAGCATACGTATACATCATTTTTTCACCTGCATATCTCAATGATACTCAATGATACTCAATGATACTCAATGATACTCAATGATACTCAATGATACTCAATGATACTCAATGATGGATTATCATGATCATCAAGGCATATTCGGAAATTGTATGCATTTTACTCTATATAATTTGTTTCATATTTTAATTTTAGAATCATAAATTTTGCAGTACATTTGTCGAATTAATTGAATTTGCGAAATTTTGCAGTTTGCAGAGTTTGAAGAATTTGAAGTGCAACTTATTGTTAACTAATAAAGGCGAATCATTTAGAATTTTGTGCTTTTCTTATTAATTAAATAAAGTAAAATAATATTTAATCGATCATTTTAATTTCGTTGCTAAAAAAATCTGATCATTGTAAAAATACTAATATTGCTAACTTTTGATTTATTTAGTTGAGTTACCACCCTAATACGTACGTATGTACCTTGTTAGAAATTTTATCTGCTGTCAAGTAGAATATAAAACACTTAGTAATACGTATAAATAACAACATATATCTAGTATCAATTTACCAAATCCAAAGTGTTCAGCAAAACAAAAATGAATAAACTATGGAAACACCTATTTTCTTCATGAAAATTTACTATTACAACCATTTGATGTAATTTATTGTGAAAATATGTTCGTCATGTTTATGTAACGTAGCTGAAAGTTATGTGAAAAGTATAGTAATCTAGCAAATTTCCATGATGGAAATAGGCGTCCCACAATTATTAACATCAATTTTTAAACTACAGTTTAAACGCACTTTCGTATTGGCAGATCTGCATCACCTGATCAAAATTGCAGATCATTTGTAGATCATTTGATCAGAATTAATTTGCAGATCATTAAAATTGGTTTGCAGATCATTTGACCAGATTTGTTTGCAGATCATTTGGCAGATCTAGAATAAACCAATTTTAAATCTGGTCAAATGGTCTGCAAATTTGACCAGAACTATAATAATTAACAAAATTTAAAAATATATCCCTAGAACAGAAATAGTTGATCTAAATGCTCAACATTTTTCTGACTTCTTTGAAGAACCCTTTTTTTAATTGCGCGTTTTTGGATTTGGCAAGAGTTGTTGCAGAATGAGCTTCAAAATTGGATGCAGCGACATAATGTTATTAATTACTCTAATGCTGCTAAAATTGGAAGGATTAAATATTTGGATATTGCTTATTACGAAACTAGTGATTCTTCATCCGAGAAACATACTATAAGCAAATATTATCTTCAATCAGAGTCTCCGTAAATCATTTTACTCTGTTTTGTCCCTATTGATGAAATACGCCTTATATTGAAAAAATAATAACGATTATATGAAATTATTCTAATAGTATCTTTTCTAAAAAAAGACTCTTCGGAATTATGAATAATTTAAACTTGCTAGCCATTTAACGTTAATGGTAAGCTTTACAAAATAACTCGAATTTGATTTGGATTACTAGCAAATCTATAAAATTTACATAATTCTGGGGCATTTTTTTTCTAACAAAGCCCCAATATAAAAAATACTGTAGCATGAATAAAGTGTCACAATGAAGAAAAAATAACATTAGATAAAATTTCGCGGTAAATCATCTGACTAAAGAACAGGATCGTAAACCTGAAGTGATGGGCGATAGACAACAATGATTACTTCGTATGACCAACGAAATCTTGTATGATTGTTAATGGAACGATTAGGGCTGTTAAAAGCTTGCTGAACCGATTTTTGAGTCAACTTCACTCTAACACTGACTCTAAGCCTGTTTCGAAATTAGGAAATGATTAAGGAATTGAAAAGACGTTCATGTTATATCTGATATTGTTAGTAAATCACGTATTACGTGTATTACATGAACGACCAGATCCCAATTGAAGTCCCTATTTATAGCGTTTGGACAGAAAAGATTGGACTTAACAGCCCTAGGGACAATCGGCGAATGTAAAGCAAAGAATATTCGAAGGAAAGTTAAAGCCCCCTTAAATTAGATTTGCGAAAATATTTGTATGAGGAAGGGTATATTAGAATGTTTCATGAAGTTCTAGTCCATCAATATAAGGAATGACTTAAATTAGTGATTGGTTGAATAAATGATGACCAATCACATAAAAACTTCATTTAATTATATTGTACTATATGTATTGAATTTGTGTTTATGCGGTTTGCAGTCAACTTTATTTATAATAAACTACGTAGTAGTTCTTACGTATAATAAAAATTTTGAAAGTTCCTTATAGAGTAATTTACTATGTTTTATGCCGAACTCTAATAACTTTTTTTATTAGAGTAAATTCATTATAAAAAAGGCAATTATATCCAGCGTCAACTATTTGATATATAAATTTAGTCTATATCCAAGGTGTGAGCTCTTTTCCTTTTTCTAAATTTTACAGTACTGTAATTAGCGAGTGATAGCTGTTTTAAACCAAATTTATTTATAGGATGTTCTACTATTAAAGCGCACCACTATCTACATGAATATCCACATGAATATCAAGGATTTTGGATTAAGATTTTTTATGAGTAATTATTTGCATATTGACGCTAATCAAGAGTGATCCTGTGTATGCCATAAGATGTTACTTTTTAATGAGACCTTTTTTTAGTTTATATGCACTCAACAAAGCTGTTTATATCAATTCCCTTTCTTTTATGCACCTTTAGTAGAAAGGCTGCTACAAGAGATCGAATAATTTATATATAACCGGATCACATACATTCTAATCCATCTTTATTGGACAGAGCACACGTACCTGGTTGTCTTATTTGCATGCAAAAATTTGGGGATTTTTATTTTCAAACATTTCGTGTTTTTGATGACTGGTGAAAGGAATTGCTAAGCAATTAGTAAATTAATAATAAATTTTAAGCATTAATAGTTGCTGAATTATCCAAGATATACCAGGACACATAGAACAAATTTATCCAAAATGATATAATTAAGAGTCTTTTTACTGAGTACTATTTTTTGCAACTTTCTGTTCGAGTATATAAATTCTTGGCTCTCTTTGTTTCATATTTAAGAGAAATCAATTTTTTTTTTTTAATTTCTACAAGAATCAACTAAGATTTATAACTAAAACTAGGGATGTTAAAAGGCTCGGTTTAGCCGGTTTTTAAATCGGTTTGAGTCGAGTTTTTTTTAAAACTCATTCGAATTGCCACATGATATTTATCCACGGGTACTTTTGTTCATATGAAAAGTAAATAAATTAATATATCCTCCTGGGTTTTATTCGGTAAATAATGCCCGGTCTTAATCATGTGATATTATTTTATGGGGATGCTATAACGTATAAGCAGTGCTATATGGTAAGTTCTTAATATGAAACAGATAACGGATCCAGGCTCTAGTGATTGTCTTCAGCCAATTAGGTTGTGCGTAATTGCCAAGAATCAGGACGCAAGTTTATCTGATTTAAGTTGGACACATGTGGCATTGTTGCGATTTGCACTACGCCAAGTGCATATAACTTATATAAAGATCTACATCTTATTGTGTTATTTGCAACTACAATAGTTATTGATAACCAAAAAAAATAAATATATATAAATAATCAACAGCCTGCCACATACGTACATAACTAATAAAAAATTTAAAGGCACGATTTAATTGGATTAGCTAATTCAAGACTGTTACATCACAGTTTGTTACAAATAGACATATTCGTTTTTAAAGTGCAGTATAAATATTTGAATTGTTTCTTTCGATTCTGATTCCAAAAAGTTTAATTGTTAAATAATTCAAATAAATGTCATCCTTTCGAAAATCTCCGTTTTCAAATGGTGCTAGAACAGAAGACTCGGTTTTCGTAGGAATAGATGATAATGATACAGAAAGAAAAGATAGAGATAAAAGAATTATTACGTTATTGATTCTTGCTCCTCTATGGACTCTTATATTTACCATAATTCCGGTTATCGTCAAAGTTAGAGGCATTGGTGCTGATATTTATAGTATGTAATATTCATTGAGTTTTATATGAATGTAACAATTGTAACAATTCGTTTTTTTAAAAAAAAAAAAATTTCTCCTTTTCATTTTCATAATCACCTAACAGGATTTATTGAACCAATAGTTTCATTACCACTAAACTATTTTATTTTGGCATCCTCTCATGTATTCGACAATGATAGTAAACCTTTTGGTATTTCGATTATCTTCATTATTATTTATTTTTATTCAACTTAAATTGGCTAACCTATTACAAATAAAGTTTGGGGCTTATCTGAACGTGGATTTTTAAACCTGTGGTTTATGATCGGTGCTGCATTTTATGCACAAGGTAAATAAATGCTTTTACTGCTATTTTCATAATTCCTGGAACACCTGATAAAAATTGACCGAATGATTTTTCGGCCGTTCCGATTAAGTC